TATTTGCGAAAATAATAGGAAATTCAAATTTAAAAAATTGTGTTATTATTACATGTTATTGAGTCGAGATAACAAGCAAGAGGAACATTCCCGTTTCATCTTGCGAGAGCGCCTTCATGTTAAATATATGGCTTATCATATCCCGTTACATCGTATCGTTGTAATATCGCTCCCTCGCTAGCTCGATTCGCGATTTGCCAGAACATAAGTAGGCTACATGCGAATACCGCAAGTAGCAGCGACTGCGCTCGACATCCACGGGAAATCACTCTCAAAGGTATAACGTAGCAATTCTGGATCCGCGGTCGATAACTGCGCGCGATATGGTGGCTCAATTACAGCGGCTACGAACTTTCGCCCCAAGACGACATTTCGTAACAACTTACGAGCGTATCGAGGGTAAGAGAGCCGGAGAGTCAGTACTGTAGCGTACAGAGAATTCGTGTAGCGCTTGGCAGCACAGCGCAATGTGGGATATGGAGATGTCACGGAAAGGGGTAACGATGACGAGGGCGGAGAAGCAAGGAGATGAAGGAAGATCTCTCCCTAGGATTAAGTCGTAAGCCAAGAGACGCATAGGCACGAGCGCGTTATTCATTCCATCTATTGTGTCACCCCATTAAACATTCGTTGTCATGTATAACCATTATAAGGAGGATGATAATCTCGCGAGATGCAGTAAACACCGGCGAGTTAAACGAGTGCGCGGATTGCGTCTCTCCTAGAATGTCGCAGTGGGGAAGGAGAAGACGGTGAAGACAAGTATAAACGTTTCACCGCCACGAGTAATGCTCGCGGGCGTGGAAAGTAATTTAAGGAGCGATCAAGCTGTCGCCAGCAATGCGGCTTACATTCAGAGCGGCCCACGTTACGGCCAATGCGAGAAAGGAGATAACCAGACGGAGATCGTATACATATTTCCCTGCGAATAAATCGACGGTGCTGAGGGTAATAAGCCACTCCTACGCGAGGTGATCGCGGAAATCACGCGGAATATCCATTGCGCGAGATCACTGAGTATACGCTTAAAGTTATGAATACCTGAAAAGTCGTATCATTCGGATATAATACCGACGAACGCGAATATCAAATCCGCGATTAAGAAAGGTTCGCGTATTTCAAGCAGTCGAGAAAGAAGAAGAGATTACAGGAATCAAAACTGTACGATGAAATCGACGGTAATAACAGAAACGTCGAGGGGAATCTAACCCGAGTGTTTAACTGTAACTTCTGGCGCCGAGCGCTGCGAGATAGGTACGCGAACACTTTACAATTTATATGTAACAGCCTTGTAACGTGGGCCCTTCCTTAAGGCCCTCCAGCCACGCGATTTCTCTCTCCGCAAGATTTACTGGTAAAGTTGTTACTTCTCTGCCATAAAATATTTAATTAGTTGTCTTAACGCCACTTATTTCTTGCGCGCGCTACCTACTACTTGTTTCTCCCGACTCGCCAAACTTTCGTAAGATACAACGAGACTAAAATGTACAACGTGCTAAAAAGGAATAATTAATGTCTCTTCGGTCACATTAATATAGGTATGTTACTGTATTTTATTATGTTATTGTTACAGACCTTTTACATTTGTAAGATTTCTTATTTCGCATCGACCTCGTGGCCGTAATTAAACGCTTTAATCAATTAAACAATTGATCAATTCATATGATTTGTCAATTTCGGAGAATATCATGTTCTGTCGGCATGCACAAATCGAGAATATCATTACCGATACATCACTATACAATTACTATAATCGTTCGGAAGGTTAAAATGCAAATATTGCCGCGAGGCATGCCGCGACATGTATCATATCTAGCGAAATAGCTACATATATCGGTCCATTGCGCTGAACGCGATTGCGCTGTTACGAAATATATGTGAAATAATCATTCGGAATAACGTTTTGCGTTATCAAAGGTAAGGTGATGATTAGAACGAAATCGCTGCAGTGGGCAACCGTGAGAACGTCGTTGCAACACTGATTGGAATTTAGTATAGAGACGATAGCGATAGAGACTAGTAACGTTTCTCGCTTCTCCAATTAAGCTACCCGGATGTAAATCGAGTTAAGGGAGTCTTGTAGCGCGTCGTCGACGGGATTCATTCGTTGAGGAAACACGAACGGCAATTCATTGTTGAGGAAACCCTTAACGTTAACGGAGATCTTTAAATTAACGTCACATCGTGAAACACAAGCGCGTTGCACGTAGATGATAAAATAATAAAACATGAAATCAGCCGCACGTGTCGTGAAATGAATTGGTCCATTTGAATCTGGCATATCAATTACGAAGATTGGATGCGACAAAAATTGGGCGTCACGAAGATTAAGCTCGTCGGGATTAAGCAGACGTAAAACGCGACTCCTCAAGGAGTAGTAGACGCATCCCGGCGGATAAAAACTCATCAAAGTTCGCGCCAGCCAGCAAACTAATGCCATTAGAAGTAATTTATCATTTAAAAGTGGTCCGTTCTTGCACCCCACGCTCAGCAAGCTGCGACATATGCGGTATTAACTTTCTTATGACGGGATCCTCTTGACCCGTTTTCACCTTACGTGGTGCACAAGCGTGGCATCCCGTGCATGCAAGTTGGCTAGGCTCACGTCACGTACGTACGTAACGACCATATTATAATACAGGCATTTATCTGACCCCATCACCCTGCTCGAAATAAGCCATACGTAATTCCCTTCTAATTATCCGAAAATAACAGTTACTGTAGCGTTAATATTCGTGGAAAGAAATAATTGATCGCTTGAAATTTATCGCTCAATTGAGCGATATTCGTTTTCAGTTTAGTATATTTAGTTTAGCCGACTATCGTTTCGCCTGTGTATCCACTCTATCAGACGTATAAAGAAACAATTGCGCAACAGTTATACGCAATGAATAAATTCAATCTGTTCACGATATCCGTCGGTATTATTATACGCTTCTGTTCTACTGAAACGAATGGCTCTCACAAATCTCAGTTATTAATGCAGATAGAAAAGTGTTTCTCTCCTAATGTGGAGACGACCACAAGCGTGAAAATGCAAATCACGAGATATTATACGGGATATCTCGTCTTAGTTTCCGCACTAAAATGTTTTCGCGAGAAGGAGGAATGTAATGAAAATCAGGATGAGCGATAAAATCGGGTCTGCCGAGGCATGAACTTATTTTAACAGATATGATATTGTAAAATCGCAATTGCATCGCATTTTATATCCCATAACTACCAAGGAGCGAATATTTTGCTGTTATTAGTAATATAAGTGAGAGTGATCAAAAAAAATAAACGTTGTCAATAATAGTTACGCCAAAATATGGTGAATTGAATGTCCAATTGATCAATTTCTATTCCCCTCATAATAATTGTAATTCATTCCAAAAGCATAAATAGAATAATGATCGAAATTATATTTAATATAATTATATGTGATTACTAATTACATTTGGAATTATATTGGAATTATACAACAGAATTTTCTATAACTTTATAACTGTTTACAACATGCTGTTTACTGTTGCATAAAGCACAGATACGTAAGCAACGTAATAAAATGTCACATTTTAAATTTAATTTAATTTAATTAACTGTGTCTCCCGATGAAATTTTACAATGCAAGAACGTGATTATACAATATAAATGATAAGGCAGCAATGTTACTATCCCTAAAGTTACTATCCCTATTGTGTGTGCCTTTACTTATATAATAAGCCATAAAAAAAGCACAAATAAATACAATAAAGTATTCTTTATCAAATTAAATTATTAAAATGTATACAATATGAAAGATAATATTAAAATAATAGTTGCGTTATGACTACGTTGAAATTACAAATACAAAAAGTTAAAATAATGATTTATGTAATATTAGCTTGAATAATAATTAGTTATTATCTGTCTTAGTAGTTGAACCAAATTTGCGGATAGGCACATAAATTGGGGACACGTTAATAGAGCCATCGCCCTTTAGAGAGGCACACATAATAGGGATAAAACATTTTATTTTTATAAAAAATAGTATAAAATATTAACATCTTTAGATTAAAAAATATTATGAGAAAAAGAAATATTAAAAAATATTGATTTCAAATAGACAAAATTAAAGCTTAAAAAAACATTTAATAATTAATTCATTAATAAATAAATTGATGCATAGACTAATAGGGACAGAGATCCTATACGGGAAAAAATGATTTTATCGAAGTATTTACAAATTTAGCTATGTAGAAGTCTGAAAATAATTTTGTTGAACTATTAAAATAATTATGCAGAATGCTTGAGCTGGTTGCTAGATAATTAAAATTGTTTACAGCATTGCTCATCATTATGTTCAAATTTCCTATATAATTATTTTGTTGGTCTAACAAAATTAATTTTAAATATGTACATATCTAGCTAAATTTTTAAATTTTCCGTTTCCAAAATTGTTCTTTTCGTTTACTGCTACATAGCCTACCAGAAACGAATCAGAATGGTTGAATTATAATAAGACAATACGTTACGCATAACTAGAATACAATGAAAATATTATACATTTAAGTTAGGCATTAACGAAGTTTCTCATATTATACACGAGAAATACATGAAGCTAATGAATAAGAAACGAGAAAGAAAATAACACGAGAAACGGCTGCAATATCTGATGCAGATAACTCCAGCCTCTACGAGAGAGAATGTAATTAACACGAAATACGTACGCAGTTCCCATCAAATCTATGCACTGACGAATAATCGCTCGGCGGATAAAATTAATGTGTCGAAATGCTACCTTAAATCGAGTGCAAATTAAAAGCATTGAAACGATCAGGAAATGGTCCCTCGAGCTCGTTACACGCACGCAGGATAATTACATGCGATTACACATCTAATGGCACGTTGAAGTATGTGGTGTTATCGGAAAATATGTAAATCAGTGTTATCGATTCACACAGGGGGAATGCAAACGCGCTAATAAACTACGCGTACAAGCATGATAATTATCGATCGATTGCTATTGATATACTTACTTCCTTGTACAACGGCACTGTAAGTGACTCCGCACTTTGAATTTTTTCCTTTTATTTCTTCCCACCGTTCTATTTTTTCTCTATTTTTCGTTGAGCTCCGTCTATTTTTCTTCATGCAGCTTCACTGAAACTGGTTTTGTCAAAAATCACAGCTCTCTCTTTTATTGACACTTTCCGTCGCGAAGAGAAGAGTCTCGCAGTTAAAGGCTAACACGACTGTACGTCCCACCCTCTATTTTTCTTCATTGCTTAAACGGTTAAATCATACGATTATCTACTTCCGCCGGAATCGCACTTACGACTCGCTCGCGCGAAACGCTGCCATCGTCGAAATAGAATCTACTCCGCGGCAGCGCCTAGCATTTCGTAATATTGCTTCAAGTAGCGATGGTCATTCACGGTCGATCAGAGAACGCGTATCCTGTTGGACTCCGCAATACATCTGTGGTGTGCTACAGGAGAGTATCGCTCAACCGGGAGTAATTCGCGTGGAATCACAGTTCGCGATGTGTCGAAACAATTCCTGCGCACCACCAATCTGCAATTTCACGAACGTGCACGTCAGTCGTTTCGAACAGCTCGAGAATTCGATACGCAATCGTCTTTTAAATTTCGTCGAACAAATTATTATATTTTTATTTTATCTGAAAATTATTACGAAAGAGAGAAACAATCCGTTTGTAGATATGCTTCGTGTAAGCTTCGCGAAATATTGGGACTAAAAGAGGAAGCTATATAATCGTGTATACACATTTTAGTGTATTTACAAAAAGATAATGGTCGGACTAGATAACAAATAGAGAGGAAATTTCTCCATCTATCCAGTTACGTAAGTGGTAGTCCTCGCTTACGTTCTAAATGGCCCGGAGCACGTTAAGCGTTCCGAGAGCTAGCTGCATTGATGGTTGTTTACAACATCAACGCTTTACAAACACATATCTAGTAGCTCTAACTGTTACCGGAACTAACTTGGAACGAATCGAGTTAAATTGGGTATTGTAAAAATGCAAAAGTTTTCGACATCATCAGGTCGGCAATCAACCAAAAATCCCCGAGTAAATATATACTTCTTTGTCGATATTATAATCACATGGAATTTAAATAACAGATCGGCTTCTATCGCTTCGAGTAAAAAAATTCACAGCTCTCGGCGGAAGTCATAAAAAATCTATCGCCGTCTGCTGCAGAAAAATTCTGCATTCGTAATGTCAATTCCATCGCACAATCGATGGCGCGAATCACGTCATGAAGCTCATACGATCTCTTTTTCTCTTTCGCGTAATTTCGTGTGCATTTTTCGTCTCTCCTTTTTTCTATCTATCTCCCCTTTGTCCTTCGGATGGATCAGGTAATGCCTCGAAGGGCGGGACCGGACGTGTCCTACTTTTACGGTGACCGGCGTATAGTTTTTAATCCGAAACTAACAACGTGACACGAGTTAACCGTGCGGTAAGATTACGTGCGCGATGTCACACGCCAAAAGAAAACTCGCATGTTCGTCGCCGGAAATTTTAATCGTGATGACCGATCATCTTTTATATCGATCTCATTTATTCTCACATTATAAATCATTTCACGATAAGTTGTATTAATAATTACATCCAATTTTGCAATTCATCCTGCACATGATGAATGTGACATGCTGTGGCATGTAAGATTTCACGAAAAATATATAATTCATCGGACGTAATAATCTGATAAAAGTAATGAACTCGTTGAATTTGTATGAAAACGACGGAAAGAAATTCTCTCTGACCATTTATTGCTTTTCTGTCACTTTTTTAAAAACATGATTACCCGTGTCATACTCATTACGTACAAATGAAGACAGAAAATGAGAAAGCGGTATTCGACCTACTGTGTGCTTTCGATTTCTACAATCACTCCACGAAAATCGCAGCAGCCGATACGCGAAAGTAATTAGTTCGAGATTGCGTGCAAATTCACGCGCGGTTTATTCTTCCTCTTACTTTCTGTCTCTTTCTCTCGTGCACGATCACATGTCGCCGACAGACCTGGGGATCCGAAGCACTAAAATTTCACGGTAATGGTTCATCGAGGATTCATCCGAGTGCACCGTTTTTTTTTTTCAATTTTTTTGCTCTCCGAACGGCGCGCGACACGAGTCACTTTCACAGTGCCGCTTCAAACTAAATATTCGCACCAAGATAATGTTTACTTGCGCGAGGACATTAATTTATTCGCCGACACGACGTGAAATATGCAAAGATGTAACCGGCAACGCGACTAGGGCAACCGGACAGAGGCGGCTTTTGTAAAAAAAAAAAAATTGCGGCGTATCGATGATGCGCGCGCGAAAAAAAAGCACGTCCACTCGCCCGCTCAAGTTCTTATGAATCTTTCCGTGGGAATGCTCGGCTCTCGCCCGCTGCTCGTTAGGGCTTCGCCAATGGACTGCCAGGCGCCGCGGCAAAAGCTACGGCGCAACACGCCGACGCATCCACCCCTTTGCAACCCCTTACGCGGCTGACTCCCCGCTTTGCGGCACTGACGCCTACCCACACCGACGACTTTTCCACTCGTTCTCCACGCGTGAGAGCCTGTGCTTGCTTTCACGACTTCGTAAAACACGGACGCCGACACGGGCGATGCCCGCCGTCGATGTACATGCGGTTTTCGCGATCGTTCGCGCAATGGATGTCCCGCGCATCATTAGATGTCGCGTTAATTTCTCTGCCGAATGCAGAGAGAATTGCACAATAGGTCGATTAAATTTATAATAGGTACCAATTATGATGATTGAGGAACGGAATTATTGTGTTTGAACACTGAGAGAAAAATGTACTGTGTGTGTGTGTGAACTTTAGTAAATATTTGTTTGCATTTTACTAGCTGAATATTTACTAAATATAAACATATATTTATTTGTTACGAGAACCAATTAATTTGAATTAATTCTGTTCACGTTAATAATACAATACTTTTGAGGCTTTCACTTTTCTATTATATCAATTATCATGTTTTTAGTTAATATTTGTTACTATAAGTAAATGTTAAATTAGCATTATTCAAATAAATATTTATTAAAATTTAGTTTTTTCTCAGTGAATGAACGGTTAGAAAATATTAAATTTTCGAGGTACAGCAAAAGGAAGAAATTTGTTATCGTATTTTTATTCAAACATCTGCTCATTTATCTGCTCATAATTTTTTTGCTATTTCTCTTACTATTAACATGAAATATCGTGTTACGCGAACCGATTGAAAGCAGACCAAGGACTTTTTGACTTGCATATACATGAAATATTTAGCGATATTTAATCATTTGTAAAAGGCGAAAAGAGCAATATCAAGCACGGTGCTTTGAAGGCCGCCGAAATTAAATGCCGACAAAGTGTACTGACACTCGATGGTCTATCGCTCTATGGATATGACGCATTTTGATTCGTATGCTACAAACTGTACGGTACGTCATGCTTTCGGGATATAACAGGTAATGTTGCAACACGAAAGAGGATAAATTTGATTTAACCTGTTTCATATTTTCGCCCACCGGGTATTCAAATGTATCAAATACTTTGTGCCAATCGAAACATCCATGTGATCGTAGGTCGATGGGGCACGTAATTTGCATAATTATGCAATAACTGTGATGTCAGATACCCTTCATCCCGCCATATCGATGGCAGATTCCAGCGTACCGGCGAACAAATGAACGTATATCGAAATAATGTATAAAATTCAACGTACCGAAATTATGCGGCAGCGCAATCGCGGCATTTTCTAATATACTTTTCTCGACATATTCCTTCTTAACTTTACAACTTAAAGGCGACAGAAATTCCTCAGAAAATAGTATAATTTCGTTGAATTTACATTTACTCGCGACAGTGGAAACGTGACAGTTGACATATCGTACATTTTTCTACGGAAATCTCTGATTTTGAGATTCACGCAATATATAGATAACTTTACTGCGGTGCAACTATATTGTTTTTTTTCTTTTTACATACGTGTATCATAACGCGAAAACTTATAAAACATTACAGGATCAATGACTTCACATTTACCCAAGATAGATGACCAGCATCGATCAAGTCTTCCGTTCTCGTGAGCTACATTAACTTTATATTAAATACTTCATCATTTTTCCGAGACACGTCACGCTTCGCCGATTTACCCGTCGATTCCGCGACCGAACGAGCCACGAACAAGTTACAGATTTTTTTTCTTATTTGACATGAATTTCCACACTCTGTAAATCGCTTCCCATGTCTGCGTTAAAATATTTATTATCTCATATTTATTCCATGCAAACTGTAGAATCTCTGATTTGTACTTTTAGTATAAAATCGTTTAATATAAAAAAATTTATGTATACATACACATATATATATACATATACATATGTGTATGTATATATACATTTTTTTTCCTAAGATTTTTTGTATTACAAACTTTTTATTATATGTATATATATATATATATATATATATATATTGGGTTGGAACGAAAGTTTGTAGCATCACTTCATTTGTATCATGTCTATATATAAAAAGTATTTAAAAATATTTGCAAAATTTGACAATTACACCATCGATAAAGCAAAGTTTCAGCTTTAAAAAAAAATCTATTTTTTTTTAACTACGATACGATGATTTTTGAAGGCGTTATGAGAAATCAAAATCAAAATACTCTTTTTATTTAATCCGCGATAACTCAGTAATACAAAAAATTTTAGGAACATCTTTAAAAAATGATTTTGTAGAGAAAACTTTAAGCTTTCACATTAGAGAATTGAAAATTCTTTGCAAGTTTTTTGAGCACATGACGTCCAATGTCAGACAAAAATTTCCCATTTTGTCCAGTTTATAGTTTTCTTATATAAACAGAGTTACATTGAATTTGTCTGAGAGATTAAATAAAGGAACTATTTCACAAGATCCAGTGCATGGCTCACAAAGGTATTAATTTATTGATCGATCCTATAAATTACTAATCTCACAAAATCTCAAAAAATATAATAACTTTTCGAAAGTAAAGACTTGAAGCTTTAAAACTATTTTTTAATTTAAAGTTTCTTTAGTTTTAACAAAGTGACAGCTGCTTGAATTTTGTAGTTCATAGCGCTACGACTTTCGTTTCAAGCCAATGCATAATAAATGCGATATTCGAAGAGAACGCTTATGATTGATAGCTAAAAACAACATTTAAAATCGTTACACGAAGACGTACGCAGAGAGGTTTAACATTTGCATCAATTCACCATTCCTATTTCGGAGAACGATACCACCATAAATCGATGCAAATGTTAATGGATTAGACCATAAACGTATACACAAGTTTGTATACAATGTCGGAACGTCGAGCATGCTCGAAATGAAGTTCTACTCGATTTTATAAGTACAATACAATAATAGCGTGCGGCTACCATTTTACATGCCAATTATCCCACCAAAATATCTAACCGACCCCCCGCGTGCGCACGTAATTCTGTATATCGCTATATTATCGAACAGTGCTTGCTGTTGGCAATGGCCCATCAACATATCGTTACCTGTCTGTCGATAATCATCCCGACGTTGCGCGCGGTCGCTCGTATCCGGACTTCCGTAATAATTGCATAATGTGCTAATAGCGCTCGTAAAATGATTACGTGTCGTATGAAATGATTACACTCTCTGGTACAACGGCAATTGCGATATCAGACCCGAGGGCGCTCACGCACGCACGCACGCACGCACGCACGCATCCACGCACAAAAATCACGCGTTAATACAGATGATTTATATATAATGTGATGAAATGCACATGCTCACGCATCCGAGAAATGCATATTAAAATATATTAAAGTTATATTTATTTAATTATGAAGTTACATTTTAAATATTATATTTTAAGCATGAGTAGCTTTCCATCCGTTAGAACTCGAGCTATTTTCGTGCCCAATGTAACGTCCAGATGACTGCAATTTTACCGACATATTACGTCTCTCCTGGAAAGCTATGCTGGACACGTAGTGGTGAAAGCACGAATCGGAATGCCTCACGAATCATCGGAAGATGTAATGGACTGCAGGTGTGAGAAAACGTGACAGCGGAAGCTGCAACAGCATATCCGCAGCGATATAAGACAGAATCGCTTTTATGTAATCTTGTCGGTAGAAATGAGAAATATTCATGAGACTCGAGCTAAGTAAGAAATTCAAATCGTATTTGCAATAGTGACGACATAATGGAGAAGGAGAGGAAGAGAGAAAGAGAGAGAAAATAAAAATTATCTCGAAGCTCTCTCTTTTTTCAATCTGCCTCATCTTTCTGCTCGTGTCTCGTACAATATGTTTTTGTACAACGAGTTGCGGAATGAAGTGCAAGCACCTGCATCTCTCGTATTACATCAAGCTTTTTGGAAGAGTAACTCAAAGTATAGCTCGACCGCCGCGGGATGTAGGAGAGAAAGGCAAGAAGCGCGTAATGGTCGCACGTTGGATTCTAACAGAGAATTGCAGCCTGTTTAATTAGCAAGCAAATTAAATGCCAGGACAGCCACATCCGACATGGTCCGCGCAATTAGAGGTATTATAAATTAATTATAACACCGTGACGCACAGTCAGTTTTGTGGGATTCAATCTCGGAATGGGCTTGGCGCTGGCGAATGGAATGAACGCCAAACTTATCTCATTGCTGATCGTTTATGATGCGTTTTGTTTTTTTATTTTAGTTGGAGTAGAGACAATCTTCAATTACGTATGAATCGGATAGTGCTTGGCAATACATACGGAGGAGAGAATACATCTAAAATTGACATCCCAAAAAAGAAAAAAAAATGTAAAAAAAAAGAATCGGAATCGGAAACAGAAGGAATTTTTTTGTGCTACTTTCGATATACTTTTCTTTTATATACTATAACTGTTTTATTAAAAAAAGATGCATTTGTTCAAGAAGTAAACTACTGAACAAAATTATTACTATACACCAGTGGCTACTAATGCCCAGTAATGCCCAATTTCTAATGTTCATTAAAGATACATACACTTGCTTAACAAGTAAACCGCTGACCAAAATTACTATGCATTAATGCCCACTAATTCCTATCGTTTATAATGCTCTTTAATGCCCAGTAATGCCCCAAATTTGTACACCGCAATGCCCTCAGCGGTTTGCATCTTTTGCACTTGTTTGTTACCATTATATTCCTTAATTCTTTGCGGCATAGTGACATATCCATATAATGTCACTTTCTCTATTGAATTTTTTATGATTTTTACAAATTTTTACATATTTTTTTTACATTTGTTACTGTTTTTTTTTTTGTAATACTTGAATTGACTATAAGCTATAATAGTTCTGTAAAAAATATGTTATTCATGTGATCCAGTTCGCATGATTACCTACCAAACTATTGAAGATGACAATATTTGGAAAACATATTATAGCATC